AGAATTACCACCACTCATAATTTGGAAAGTATGGACCTCTGCTGTATCTGTATCTGTATAGCCGTGCTTCGGCGAAACACACCAGCTTTGCTGGCACGCAGCGTGGCGGCAGCTAGCTATATCACACCAAACAACTTGTTACATTCAATCTTTGCACATTTGATTGCAGGAGTTGTTTAAAGCTTTCTAGTGATGATGTCCCAACTGTACTTGGTGGTTACGAGTTCCAGTCAACGACAGTTCTTGGGAAATACAAGTTTTTGATCATACTAGAACTGTTCACAAACCAATAGGTGCAGGTAATTTTACATTTCTTAGCAGCCTAGTAGTAGTACTACAAAGATACCTGTAGCCTAAGCTATGCTACCTATCTCATCATTATCAACAACATCTGTGGAGGAGGGACATAGACATGTGTTTTAGTCTAGTACAGTCTGAGGCCAAGTCAAGTCTCTGCCACCAAACATACCTCAATAAATCTAGACTACAGACAAAACTTAGTGTTGGCAACATCCTTCATCTAATTTACAACATACGCCGGCAAAGCCTCTTAAGGGCTTACATTCCTATATAAGTCTTAAATGGTTTATCCTGTGTCTGATTCACTTTGGGCACCTGTAAGGGACTACAGTGTTTTACATCTACTCTTTTTTTTTAATGGTGTCGCTCAATGCAAGGCCAATTATTTTTGACCACTTCTAGGCATAGAGCTAGAGGTACTTAAGTGAGTATAATGTAGTTATGTTAGGAGATGGCAGTGGACCTTTGTTTTGAAGCTTTGTGGATTGTAGTCGGACGGAAAGCATCTGTTTGGAAGAGAGTTCCAAACTTTTGCAGTCCGGGGAAAGAGGCTGTTGTTGTAAAATGACTTGGAGACAGGTATGTTAATGGTGTATTGATGAGAACTGGAAGAGAACCTAGTGGCACGCTGAAAGGTTCTGAGCGACGGATGTATGTTAACACTTGTTTCCAGACACACAGTATGCCCAAAATCTGATGTGAACTGTTTTTGTACAACATGATTGTATATCCATAGTCAGGTAAAATCACATATCTCGCTGTAGTGTATGGCATTGTCATTTTAAATTTATTATGTTCATAGATAAACAACAATGATCTTATTTTGAAGAAGTTTAATTTTTCTTTCAGAAATAACAATTCAGTTTATGAATGTTGTACACATAGAATGGTATTTTGTGATATAAAAATGGCTGAAAGTTCAAACTGTGGAAATTTCCTTCTAACATTGTTCCACATAAATGGAGCTGTCCTAAATCCAACCATACCAAACAGGGAACCTGAGGCATACCCAACATTAGTGAGAATGTTTACAAACATAGTGCATCTAATCAGTTCCAGTCTCAAAATTCAGCCAAGGTTTCATGTGAGAGATTTTATTCCCCTTACTGCTCAAGCCTCAAATTTATTCTTAGACTAGTAGAATCCTTTGATAGGAATCATATACTATATAAATAATATTATAACAGTCCACAATAGAGGGATTTCACAATATTCTACCGTCTTCTTAGAATAATGAAACCTCACAGAAAGTAATTTCCTCTTTTATATATATTATATTTATATATTATTATCCTAAGTTATAACATAGTCTGACCTGCTGCAAGTTCACTATAAATGCCAACCTTCTGTATACATCAATGTGCTTACATCAGTTATAGATTCTAATGGAAAATGAACAGGTGCAGTCAGAATCTCCACTTACATGGATCATGTTATATCTTTTTTTCAATATAGAAAAAAACTTTTAAAAAATATTCACAACAGTATGAAAAGACCCATAATAATTACAAAGGTATTATCTCATGGTTACATACTTTAAAATTGGTGTGTACTAGTATATAAGCCATGTAATGTCTGACCAACACAGGAGGGAGCTATCCATTTAAGCTGGCTGGCTAGAGGGGTCCAGTTGTGGTGTAACCTTAGCCCTCCTCCACTTAAACTATGGCAGGTCAGATCATGCCCACAGATTAAAGTCCACGGGATCCCCAGCTAACACATGACCCTCTGGATCATACTTGGCAATTATGTACATATGAAGAACACAGAGTCAGATGTGATGGACTTGACCTCTGACCGGGTCAGGCGAGGTCACTGCCACCTGGTACGGCTGTATGTCACCACTCTGGTAGGTTCTACTGGCCTGCTGGTATAAACTTCATTTCTGCCATTCTTGACTTATAACTGGACAACTAAAAGGTTTTTGATACATTTTCAAGTTTTTGCATGATGGCACTGACCTAATGAACGAACTAAAAAATTTGAAAAGGATTAGGATCCATGAGTTTTTAAGATTCTTCACCAAAGCAAGACTGAATTAAAATGTTGCTTCAAAAAAGCTTCATTTTACCTTCATGCTGTGTTAGGATCCTTTGTCAGGCTAGTATACCTGCACTGTTAATTAGCATGCTGAATTCCAGTTGTCTTTACATATAATTTACAGATTGCATATAATTCACAGATTTCTCCTCTTACCTTAATATCTAGATACAGTTTCCATTCTTTTTTCTGAAGAGTCATAATTCCAAAGATAAATGATATTTCAAATAACAGTAGTGATAACTGTTAGCAGGTGCAGTAGGCATTCACAGCTGCTCAGTGATTGGTCACCCCCACAGCCACACTTCACACCACACGGTAATTAAACTATAATTGATAATACAGTGGGTGTAAAATTGTGTATCAGTTCCAGGTAACACCTCCTGACTGTAATAGACTGTCCCACCAGTTGGCTGGGACAACTGTAGTCTTGCTGGGGTTCACATTACTAGGCCTTACCTGGGGGAGGAAATGACTACCTTATGCAGCATGTTACTGTGTATATACTGCAACTGCAGGGTGGCAGTTCTAACCCACAGGGTCACACCATCAGAACATAGCGGCCAGCCCAAAACTGTTCCTCATAATGTGTTTTTAACATTAATTTAGCAGGAAAATTTATAACCCTTACAGGAAATAAGAGTGATCTGGCTGTGATTACAGGTTGTGGTACTATATATTCCACCCAGCAAATATGGGTCACCTCTGTGCCTGTTTATATATTCAACCCTCGGCACACCAGTTTAAATTGCATCCTGCCGTTTACAGCTACCGAAGTGTGTGTACAGAGCTTGTAATGCAGAGCTATGTTTCCTCAATACAGGTTGTAAGGCCCTACTTTGCAGGATGAATAAAGGTTGTAATTTAGTTGCAAATTAGAGAGATAACCACTTGACATGTCAGATGACCCTATCTATGGTGTGGTTTGGCAGTCTCTACTTGCTACAGTCCCTCCAAGCGATCACAGAAACAATTCATTGTGCTCTACTATCTATAAAACTTACAGAAGGTTGTAGGTTGTAGGATGTGCATGTATATAATTTAACATGAATATTTTAGAAGGAAATTCAAAACCCTTTCAATTGATTTTGTGTTACAGTAGCAGATTTCTGTCAATGATTTTAGATATTCCATAATTCCTGCTATTTTGTGATAACATAAACACATTATACAGTAAATGAAGTAATGCAACAGTGGCCAAAGTTAATAATTCATTAAGGAAATATATTGAAATAGACCCAAGCATGAAATATAGTTCCCATTCCCCTGAAACTATACCAAACCTCATTTGGCAATAGTGAATTCTCCGTAGAAAACTTAAGATTTATCGTGCAGATGTTAGTCTATTTGTGAATGCTTACTCAAGGCCGTCCCTTGGCAAACCTATATATTTGCTCGGTCATGGTCAAGTACACAAGCCTCACTGGGTGTTCTTCAATGTGTCTGCTCCAACATAAGTTAAAGTACTTTTGCAAATCCAACATGGATTTCCAAAGTAGACAAACATGTAAATCAAGTGGACATGTAAACTAAACAACAACACAGAGCGGAAGATATTTCTCGACCAAAAAAAAGGGACATCAACTGAAGCATGAGAAAACTTTACAGTAACATAGCAAGATTTTCAAGAATGTTTTTCTTCTGCAGATGTTGACAATAGTCATGGTTTAATAATCAACTCTGTGTTAAACTATGGGGAACCTATCTGTAATCTTCATTCCATCAATTAGACATGTCAACAAGGACAGGTAGATTGTGCAATACTGGTCCTGCTTGTCAACAATGAAATATAGAATGTCCTGGTGGTTTCTATGGGGTGTCTGCCTATGGTTAATACTTATAATTCACAGTTGGTGGTGACGGTGAACTAAAATATCTCTGTGTTCTCAGGCTGCGTCACTGGGCTGGACGCTAGAGCGAGAGGTATGTAACCAAATATGCAGATCGGCGATGGCTATTCTTAGTAGGATAGTGGGAGGGGGGCGGTGGAATAAAAATCACGTACTATCCCTTCGATGTGGAAGATAGAGATCTAGTCGTGGGGATAATAATAGACCGGGTGCGATTTTCTAGGGACAAGGTTGTCATTTTGTTATCTTGAGTGGATCGGGGAGAAATTGCGGGTTAAAAACAGACATTACACGAGCCACTTCCGCGGGCTTGACTCATCGCGGGCCACCGGCCAGCCGCCTGACGTATCAGCTGTGGCGTTGATCAAGCGAAATTTAAATTGTTCGGAGCTTTAGGTTTGAATCGTTTTACTATCAGAAGCTATATATATCAACGATTTTTCAACAAAGTATTGTTAAAATCGTGGAAAGCGTTCAGAAGTAAACGGCGGCAAACATATAACATCACAAACGTCATCGCAAAGGGTTGGTACTTGGGGAGGGGCAAACCGCCGGAAATATCATCATATGTCGTCTGATCATCAGGACACAGACCATCTCGCCTGTGGGCATCAAAGGATGTCTTTTGATCGCCTGGGGGTCTGACTAAATATCACAGTAAATATGATCACAAAGGCGATCTGCACAACTTGATACCAACCGACTTTTTCCCACTGGGCAACCCATGGCAAAAACTTGAGACTCAGATTTCGAACATACCATGTTCGCAGTCAACACTATCTATGTTACGTGATCTTCCTACTAACATACCTCTCGAGCGATGTTGTTCAGAGCTTGGTCTTCGGCCGAGTACATCCGAGTCGTGCTCCTCTTTCTCCCTGGTGTAGACATGATTGTTGTTTCCTCAGTGTTACGGCGCTGGAACAGTCGGTCGCTCGGTGCCTAGTCTCCTTCCAAAAATTATGCTGTGATCCGCGCACGAAAATCAACAACTTTCCCGAGCGTTGAAAACAAAGCCCTCACAGCCACTGTGCAGATAACTTACACACAAGCTTCCTACGAGTATCCTCTTGGTTCTCGGCTATTTATAATGGTATTTGCCGTTCTTACAGAGCCGTACGGACCGAGAAACTAGCGGCAGGAGGGATATGTGAAGGTTTGTGGCAGCGCCGCCTCCATCTTGGGTGCAGGGCAAGTCGGGGACCCGGATGTTAGGGCACGGGTGCGCACGGCATCACGGGACGGAAAGTAAAAGGATCGTCCCAACTGACTTGAGTCACAATGTAAAGTCTTGGGACTTGTGACGTAATAAAAGTCACTACGGCTTTTGAGATGTGGTTTCGTTGCTTTTCCATACATAATAAACGACTGTGTAGGTTTTGTTCGATGTCTTGTCTGTTTTCCATTCTTGTCAATTTGTCTTTGAAAGTCGAAGCAACAAGAACGAAGAAGAAAGTCGGCACTTTCTGTTGGTGAGTAGCTAAGTTAGAGCATGCAAGGAAAGCTCCTTACTTTGTCAGGGAGTTCTTGTTTAATACTTAAAATGTTACATGAAGATTCTGTACATTCACGACCCCGCATTTTGACTCGACTGTGGAACACACCTTGTGGTAGAAAGATACGCTGTTTTTTAGTGCGGAGCAGTAGCTGTTGTTTTTAAGATAGTTTTATTGGGTCTTTACCTGGTCAATCATTCGCACACTATTGTATGCCCTTATCAGCAATGTAAGAGTTATTTCTATTCACAGTCGACAAGTCTTGAACAACTGTCCGAACCACAGTCTATCCAAAGTGTAGCACTGAAATGAGTCGCTAGCTGGTGCTTCTGTCACAGAGCCACATTTCCTTGTTTGACGGTTTTACATGTACGTTAGCCTGGTTACCAAACCTATTATAGCTCCCGAGTCCTACATCCTCTCC